GCATGAATTGACTTACTTGTTGAACAGCAAAAGATATGTCAGGGCGAGTAATAGTCAAGTAGTTGAGGCTGCCCACAAGTTGTCGATACAATAAGGGATCAGGCAAAAGATCACCATCATCACGATGATATTTAACATTAACCTCAAGAGGAGTATCTACCGGGTTAGCCGATTCTAGACCGGCCATAGAAATCAAATTTGTAGCATATTTGTGTTGATGGAGAAAGATGCCCTTGGATGTAGAATGAACCTCAAGACCAAGAAAATAATGTAGATTACCCAGATCTTTCATGTGAAATGAGGCTTGTAACTGTTGCTTAAGTCGCTGAATGGAAGCATGATCCGAACCTGTAATAACCATATCATTAACATACAAAAGAAGCAGAACAATACCCGTAGATGTGCTATGAATAAATAAAGATGAATCATACTGACTCTGAATAAAGGAGAATCCAAGTAGAGTGGAGCGGAATTTCTCGTACCATGCTTTAGGTGCCTGTTTCAAACCATATAAGGAGCGTTTGAGCTTACACACGCCTTTAGATGACGAGAATAAGCCTTGAGGTGGAGTCATATAAATATCTTCTCTCAGGTCACCATGAAGAAAAGCATTCTTCACATCCATTTGATGAAGAGTCCAACCACTAGAAACAGCTATAGAGATGATCGTGCGGATAGTTGTCATTTTGGCAATCGGTGCAAATGTCTCATCATAATCAATTCCATATTCCTGCTTGTTTCCTAACGCAACCAAACGAGCCTTGTAACGGTTGAGGGACCCATCAGAATTTAATTTCACAGAATACACCCATTTGCAACCTATAGGTTTTACATCGGGAGGGCAAGAGACAATATCCCATGTGAAATTCTCTTGAAGAGCTTGAAGCTCTTCATTCATTGCTTTTATCCGTCGCACATCCTTAACAACCTGTGAGTAACAAGTAGGAATAGATATGCTAGAGAGCGTGGCAGTCAGAGAAGTATGTGAGGAATCATACCTGTCTGGTGAATATCTATCTGGTGCACGAGATATTCGACCAGAACGCCGTGGTTCAACCGGTACAGGATCAGGTGGCGGTTCAGCGTCAGGAAGGGGTGTGGGAACCTGCTGTCTGTGTTTTCTGACATATACATGACCTGGTTTATAACGTTCTATAGATTGAGGCATAATAGAAAACTTAGGAAGAGTAACAATATCATTAATGGCAGGAGAAACACAGGGAAACATAAACTGATTATCAAAAAATGTCATATTTCTAGAAATGCGAAAACGGTGGTTGTGACATCATAACACACAAATCCCTTATGAGAGTGACTATATCCCATAAATGCACATTGAACTGATTGTGCTCCAAGCTTATGCCTTTCAAAAGGAGGTAAGTGAACAAAACACACACACCCAAAAGTATGTAAAGCACTATAATCAGGATGAATTTTAAAAAGACGAAAGAAAGGAGAATCAAGTTCAATAACCGTAGAAGGAAGACGATTGATCAAGAAGACAGCTGTGGAAAGAGCTTCTACCCAAAATCGGGATGGTACTGAAGCTTGGAGAAGCAATGTGCGTGTTACATCAAGCAAATGACGATTCTTCCGTTCTGCAATACCATTTTGTTGAGGGGTATTGGGACAAGATCGTTGCGACAAGATGCCTTTTTGTTGAAGGTATTCCTGAAACTTATGAGACATGTACTCACCACCAGAGTCAGAGCGAAAAATTTTAACACTTGCTTGAAATTGAGTTTCAACATATGTTAAAAATTTCTTAAACACAGAAAACACTTCAGATTTAGACCGAAGGAAATATATCCAAACAAAACGACTATAATCATCAATAAATGTGACAAAATATTTATAGTGAGAATGAGAAACTACAGGAGACATACCCCATACATCACTATGAATCATTTCAAAACAAGTGGAAGCACGATAAGCACCAGACGGAAAAGGAAGTGTTTTACTCTTAGCTAATTTGCAAACAGAACATGAAATAGAGGCATTAGAAACATTTTTATTTCCCAACAAACCATTTTTAAATAAATGGGACAAAACAACAGAGTTTGGATGACCTAATTTTCTATGCCAATCCTCATAAGAGTTCAAAACATTATTACAAGCAAGAGATATATGATTAGAAATAAACTGGAGTGGAAACAGTCTTCCCACTTTAGGCCCCTTCGCGATCACTCTCCCCGACACCTGTTCCTGCACAAGACAACCATCACGAGAAAAGTTAACATCATAATTTTTATCTACCAATTGACCAACAGATAATAAATTAGACGCAAGTCCAGGTGATACAAGCACGTCCCGAAAATCAGAGTTGATGTCGCCAATATCCGTAATAGATAAAGTATTACCATCAGCTATTTGAATTTTCTGATTACCATGATAAGAGTGTAAATTGTTCAAATACTCTGAAGAACCTGTCATGTGATTGGATGCACCCGAATCAAGAAACCATGGGCGAGAAACATTAGAAGACTTACCCTGAGTTCCCAAGGCCGAGAGAGCGGAAAGTATCATTTGTTGAATCAATTCAGGTTGTATAGCACTATCGTTTGATTCCCCATTAGTGGAAGGACCAACCGCATGATTTGCATGGAATGCCTGTATTGAACGTTGTGTTGGTCGTGGAGGACGTGTGGGACACTCAGAGATAATATGACCCTGTTGCTTGCAGTAATTACAAAACTTCTTATTGCAGCTACGAGCAATATGACCAAATTGTTTGCAAGAGAAGCACTGAACCTGTTTCATATCACGATTTTTACCTTTACTTTGAGCAGCATATGCAACCATCACGGGCTCGGAAATGGTAGCATCATGAGACATGGCTCCTTGAGTAACAAGACGTTGTTCCTCCCTTAGGAGTTCTCCGACACATGTATCTAAAGAAGGAACAGGATTCCTATTCAGCAAGGCACCTCTGACAACCTCAAATTCTGGGCGTAATTTCATGAGAAATTGATCTCGACCACTTGTGTTGTAAACCTCTTGAACAGCCGCGAGAGAGGTCTTGGGAACATTAGCATGTATAATAGCAGAGTGTTCTGCCCAGAGATTTAAAAAACCAGAATAGTATTCTTGAATAGACAAATCACCTTGTTTGTAGTTGGCTATTTCTAACTCCAACTGAAAACGTTTTGCCGAATTGCCCTGGTTGTAAATGCGCTTTAGATAATTCCACATTTCTTGAGCAGTTGAAAAAGAGCGTAAGTTATTGATCATGTGAGGATCAATACTGTTGAGAATCCAAGTGATGATTTGAGCATCTTTAGTTTCCCACGCATCTAAATCAGTTTTCTCCGTCGGTGCCTTAGAAACACCATCTAAATGACTCCATAATCCCTTTCCTTTAACATACATCTTGAACTGAAATTCCCATGCAGAATAATTCTTGCCGGTAAAACAGACACAAAAATTCTTTTCATTTTCCATTGCCATTAGATATAACCCCTTTGTATTGTTAAATAAACAGGATAAGTCCAAACCCAGTGTGCACGTGCAACCAATTTATTTAATAATACCAATTAAATAAATAGTAAAACAATGGGAAGCAAACCAAGAAACCACGCGGTAGCTAAACCAGGAAACCACGCAGTAGCTAACGAACGGTGAAAAAACACCCACGATCTAGAAATCGCCAACAATTCAACAATGAAACCACGATCACCGAACAGAATCACCAAGAACAACGATCACCAAGCGGAATCGCCGAGAATACGAAACGGAATCGCAAAGCACAATATGTTAGCAGCACCAAATGATTAACGATCACCGAAACAACGTGCGATAAACACGGAATCAAGATCACGAAGCAACAACAATGAAGAAATCACGAAACGGCAATTGAAAGATTTCAGATTTCGAGAAATACAAACAAGAAACACGATTTCAAGAGCGACCCAGTGGGGTGTCTCTATTCAGCCAAGAGAACAAGGATTCACATGTTAGATCGAACCCTTCTGATACCATGTCATGAATTCTGGCTTGATGCCTTTCTCATTGCATTTGATACTATATATAATAGTGTCGGTAATTACAACTCATAATGACTAACTACAACTCATAATAACTAATTACAACTTATAATGGCAATTTCCTATTCTATGAATGTAAATTATTCACAATAAATGTGTTTGATTATTTCCTGATTAACATTGAGAATTGCTTTTTCCAACACCTGTTTTTGCCAATCACACCACCGTCCTATATTTTTAAGTTTGTCCTACAAATACCCTCCACAAATTACTATTCTTTTTGAAAAAATAATACAGTGCAAAATAGTTAACTACCTTTTCTTATTTTCCAAAAACACTCGAATACAAAACTCGTGAAAGCAGGAAAATCCAAAAAAAAAAAAAGAGGGCAAAGATTTAACAGTGTAAATCAGATCGAATTCAAGAATAATGGACGGATATTGTAGCATTCATATATAGTTCTAATTTCACATAATCTGAAGCATGGCAGAATTTATGATTCAAAAAGTAGCAAGAACTTTGGGTGGAGAATAACAAACAAGTAGCAATCAGTTGAAGCAAAAGTAACTGACCTTAGTTTGAGTCCGGCCAAACTTGATATCAGGAGATGCATATTGTGCAGTCCTTTTTACCTGATTCCCACTCAACAACAAATTGAGTAAGGCTAATTTGAACGGAAGCTCTGGCCATTTATTTTAACATCCCAACACATGCATGCAACCAGGTCTACCAAGTCGGAAGCATGCATGTTGTTACCATGAATCACTTCTAACAAATATAAGTCAAAACCAAATTGGTATTCACTTCGTATGCCTTCAACTTATGAGATCACTTTATGCATTATGCATCCATGTGATGTGACTAGTAAGCCTAGCATGCTTATGTTATGGGAATGAGAAGGTTATTTTTTGAAAAGTACAGTATCTGTAAATTAAACTATGTTCATTAAAATAAATTATCATATGTTTATGAGTTTTTTTATAGAATTAATATAAAAAGTGGCAGGTTTCTCACATTATGAGATATTTTACAACAAACATCGTTATCCCTGGAAACACAAACTGTGCAAAATACCCATTTGTAACCATCACATATCTGCCCTGCACACCTACACAGCCATTTGTAGCAAATGCCCATACCGTGATCTTGGATTTGGTCAACAGTGCCTCAAAATCAAACATCCAGAAATCACTTGGATGTTGTCTCCTTCATGAGGTTAACTCTTAGATCATCATAGACCCCTTGATGTAAATACAGAAAGTTCATTCAAACATAATCCTAACATGACTAGAACCATTCCAAATTTTACAGCAATATAAGAAACAAAATTATTACATTGTACAAGAAGATCTAGAGTATATTGGTTACACATGTAGAGAATTTTAATGATCAAAGCAGACTGGAAAACTATGTTGCTTCTCTACTTCTACTATTAACAGCCATTTCAGGTGAATAATGGGCTAGCTGTCACTTACCGTGCAACAAGCATGATCCTCCAGCCAATGCTGCCATCTTTGGATACACTTTGGTCATTCAGCGGATACAGGGCAGTTATGAAGTTAATCAGCACAACCAAAATTTGCATTTTGATTGTCACTTCCAGTAGAAATGTACACAGTATAAAGTAGCTATTGTACACCAACCTTGATGTTTTTACGATCCAGAACAACATTCAAAATCTTGCCAGGAACATAAATTCTTTTCCTGACAGATTGACCATCCAAATACTTGGATAGCTTTTCATCCCTAGATGCTAATGCAAAAGCATCCTCCTCTGTACATGTTTCTTCAACCTGGATGGTACCTCTGGTCTTACCATTAATCTGAACTGGGAGGACTATGATTGAGTCCTTCAGATAAGCAGGATTCGCCTGCAGATAAAATATATAAAGGACATGACCACTGCGGGTGTATTAATATGACACTCAGTCCACTTGATTAAAATTTAAAACTCAACCTGGAAAACATCCCCCTCTAAAGAATTCAATTGTGTCACTAAAATATCATCGCCGGATGGATCCTTTTCACAAACGTCTTCATTCAAAACCACAATGTAGGTATTTAAATGTGTTTGTTTAAATGACTTGGATTTTATTATATTAGCTCAATTCAATGATTCCAAAGGAAACCTCGGCTACGAGACCATTAGTTTATTGTCGAAGTTGACAACACTGTAAAGGGATGAAATATTGGCTTTTTTTTAAAATGAAATTTTCCTGAAATATTGGCTTTTTTGGTCACACAGAAGTAAAAAAAAAAAAAAAAAAACATTTCCAACTTGTGTTTTACTTTCGAATTATTTGAATTTAAATTTTATTTTTATATTTCCTTGTTTATTATGATTGTTTCCCTAGTTTATTTAGGATTATAAGCTTATTATTAGCATTTTTTTTAGCATAAATGTAAATCAGTGCTTTATTTGTTGTAATAACATCCAAGATATAATCCACATCAATGTCAATATTTTTTCCTCTCGTAATTTAGAGTATCTTAGATCATCTTTTAAGATTGATTTCTATATTTTCTTATCTACAATGATTTATTTCCTTATTTAATAAGTTATAGAAAATCTTATATTTGTATAGGTTTTATTAGTGTTGTCTTTTGATATGACATTCAACATACCCTTCGCACCTATAGGAGACTTTTCTTCCCCACTGTATTTATGAAAGACTAACCTTTAACAAGCATAAACACAACAAGAAGTCATTTGTGGCTTAGTGGCATGTCACAAGTCATATCACACAGCCACAAATAACAGCAAGTCGCTGGATCAGAATCCTTTCATTTTAGGGAAAAGCATGACAATGTGATCTTCGTGAAATCTTGGTCCCACATGTGTTTCACATCACCTCCCCACATAACTCACTGTTTCACAATCCCCCTCCCAATTTACTCTACCTCTTTTATGTTACTTCTCTAACCCCACAAAACATTGTCTCTCATTGTTGCAAGCTGGCAGCTCATTTGCAAGATAATAATCAGCAGAGTCAAAATCATGTTTTGGTACTCATGAAACTAGAGGGCTTGATTTGAAATCCAATACCTTATCTTTCTCCTATATCTTTTGATTCTCTTTCCATTCTTAATCAACTAAGAATCTAAAACAAAAAGGCCCCCAGTACTATTAAATATACATATGTTAGTTAACTAATTACTTTGTTCTACATAGAGATGAGTTGGGTTCCTCTCCATTTCTTGGGGTATTCGGTAATTGTAGAGGAAATGTGTAACAAAACCAAATATTTGTTGTGGAGAATTGAAGATAGTACGCTATCAATAAAAAAAATTGAAAATCAGTGAACACGCAACTTGACCATGAAAGACTAGGCATGTCTGATATGGACCTAAATTCATACCTTAGGAAAAGGTTCATAGGCTAATGATTTGGTGTGACCTAGACGAGACCATAGCTCTTCAGCCATGTGTGGCGCATATGGTGATAGGAGCAAAACAAAAGCCTCGACCACTGATCTTGGATGTTTATCCCACTGAAAATATATGCCAAAAAAAAAGAATACAGATCATACTGAGTATCTATAACAGGGAATGAAAGAATTTACTGACTATAAAGAGAAGGAAATGAGTAAGGGAGAGGGACCGAGCAAAAAAGTAACACTTTTAATATAAAAAATAAGAAACCCGAACACAATTTTCTTTAGTAAGAACAATACACTTGATAAAAGGTATGGCATGCATTACAATAAAGGATGTATATGAGAAGTGTATTTTCTTTTTGCTTATTGTAGGCATCCAAACATAAATAAATAAAAAAATTCATGTAACTCAAATGATTTTTTATCATCTATAATATACGGTTTTTCTGATTCAGTCCCTAAAGTTATTTTTGGTTTTAATGCCTCAATCATAGGAAAATTGATTTTGGTCACTGTTGTTTTTGTTTTAGATAACGTAATATTTGTCTGAGTTGGGATCCTTCTGGTTATAGTGGGCCTACTCGTAAGCAGATTTATTTTGTAATTGTACAGCATTTACAAGAGTGATTTCACAACATGAACCCATTACGTTTTGTCAAATGGCAAGAACTCCAATAGTTGTGCCAACTGCCAAAGCCTCCGTTGGATATTAAAATTTTAAAACAGTGGAAATGGAAATGGATAAATACCTTATATGCTGCATTAAGGAACTCCATCATTGCAGAAATTCCAGTGTTGAACCGTGTGCCTTCAATTTCCTCTGTTACCTGAATACTGAGAGTACACTCTTAGCTCAATTGTCCCAAATCGGTGTGTTAAATCCATAAAATAGAAACTGCTAAATTATGATTAGAAATTGAGATATTGACCTTAGCAATGCATTTATGAAGACAACGAAGTTGTTCTATAGTAGGCTCCTCATCAACTGATACAGTTCTATCCTTAAATGTGCCATCGGACAAAGGCAAGCCAACAATCAGCCTCCAAGTTCTACCTAGAAACCGATATACACCTTCAATACCGCCAGTACTCCATGTTTTTGAGTCTCTGAGAACAAGTTAAGAGGAAAAATCATTGAGAAAAGTGAGATGAGGTGAAAGTCCGTGTTAGAACAAGATCCACGTCTTGGCAGTGCCCCCCTCCCCACACCATCATTAAGAAAAAATGAAAAAGGGCAGAATAAAATCCTAATGTTGTTCTGATTAAGGACAAATCTACACAAGATGTCAGAAGTAATAGGGTTCAAGGTCAAACACACCTCAGTGGTCCCATGAACATTTCATATAAACGAAGAGAATCGGCACCATACTCAGAAATGACATCATCAGGATTAACAACATTTCCCCTGCTTTTACTCATTTTATGAGCACGGGCAACTAAACGTACTTCAGGATTTTCTTTCAAGACAAAAGAATCCCCAGATTTTGTGACCTACAGTCCAGGAAAAATAATATAAATTCTTGTCGGGAAAAAAAGTTTAGGTTCAAAATCTTAGCTCTGGCAAATACTTAGCAAATACTGAATATATTGAGAAACTGGAAACTTAATTGAGAAACCTTTTCCTCAGAAATTCTTTCTAGATTATGTTCATTCAACATATTCGTAGAATCAGCAGATATCAGATTTCCATCTTTATCCCTGCAAGCCATATATTGAACCTGCCATTCAAACCATTAGAAAGCTGTGATGATTACTTTTTTTCCTAAATTTCAAGCAGAAGAAATGAAATTACCTCTCCAAGGATAATCCCCTGGTTAATGACACATTGGAAGGGCTCCTTGGTGGAGACAACACCAATGTCAAAGAGAACCTGAGATAGGAAACTCGGTTAAATCTGCACAAATATTGCACCACCACTAACTCTATTTAAACAAACTACCTATTGAATTGTAACTTAACTTTTCAATAATAATAAAAAAAATATTTTTCTACAAAAATTAATGTCAGTCTTCTTTTATTTTTAAGCACAACAGAAATTTAACTGTAGGAACTGTCTTTTTCATGACTATCAACAATTAAAAATGAAAACTATAGTTTAAAAAACAACTCGACATAGTGAATCTTTTTTGCTATATCGGTGTGCTAAAACCTATAATGAGGGACTAACTTATATTGCACCAAGAATGCTAACTTGAAGGACACGAGTACTTTGTCATTTGCGACTTATTTGAGACTTATAAAAACATTTTTAACAGGTATCATGGAATAAGAGTGACAGGAACATAGCTGCTCCACATACAGGTTAAGTTCATGGCTTATAATGAAACAAATCACAAATCAACATGTTCCAGATTGAGACTGAAACCAAATACAAACCTTGTGCCAGAACCTAGCATATAGTAAATGGAGAACTGCATGCTCAGCCCCACCAACATACACATCAACAGGGCCCCAATACCTGCAAGAAAGATAAAAAAACAATTTTGAAGTGGGAAAATTAAATCATCTAGAAATTGTGAAAGTAAAATATAAGAAACCAGTAATAAATGGATAATGAGTAAGTACTGAAAATAAAGACAAAGTTAGTTGAAGCTACACCTTTCTTTTTCCTTATCGACCAGTTCTTTGGAATTATTTGGGTCCATAAACCTCAAGTAGTACCTGGGTAGGATATTAAAAGAAAATGTGACATATACTTTATTTTCATTTTGTATCAAACCATACAAATCCTGAATCAAGACAACAAAACTAATAAACTTAGCAACAAAACCATGACTGAGTGGCTTAGTGCTAACTAATAAACCAATACCATTCAAGATCTTCCCCAGACTTACCAGCATGAACCAGCCCACTGTGGCATGGTATTTATTTCCCGAGTAGCAGGTCTTCCGGATAACCTATCTGTGGTCTTCACCTAAGAGTAGTGTCATCCAATAATATTATAAGAACTATTACAATGGAGGAAAAACAAGCTAAGAAAACAAAAAACAGATCACTCGGAATTCTCTAGGTAGAATGTATAAAATTATTTCAAAAATAAAATGTACAAATTTATGATATAGCGTAGTAATAACTAAGCTTCACTTTCATGTGAATTAATGTATAATATTTAACGAAGAAAGATTGAATAGAGTAGAAGAAATACAACTTAGTGCGTGAGGGTTGTTTTTGAGTGAGGCAACATAAATATTAGTATAATTTTTAGAATTTATAGTAATGCATGCCAAACAAGCTACCTGTGGCAGTCTTCATATGCAAGGGAAAATAGAAAAAAGGAAATATTACACCATACTGTTATCGTGTAGCCTTTTCAACTTATTGGTTAAGGTATAATAGCAAAGAACTTAATAGCTAAAAAATGGTCCAGCCTAGGTTCAAGTTTGGTATGTTTACCGTCTTATCAGCAAGTCAAATCAAGATCAGCAACACTAAGTTTTTTATGCATAGAAAACTTACTTGCGAGATTTCAATAAACCATCAACGTTTATGTCAAAGCCAAAGAGATGATAAAAAAAAGTATCCAATTGCCAATATATCTAGATAACAAAGTATGCAGAAGGAAAGTAATTATTGGCATAAACTTACCCAAGACACTGCCTTAGACAGAGGAGGCTCCCCTGTTCCTGAGGGAGAAAAATCATCCAATTCAGGTAGAATAAGGGGCAATTCAGTCTCATCCAGAGGGACCGTCTCACCACTATCATCCAAGAAGATGACAGGGATAGGTTCACCCCAGTAGCGCTGCCGAGCAAAAAGCCAATCCCTTAACTTGTAGTTCACCTGAAAAATGCACAATGTATTCATATTATACAAACCATTACAAACAACGTTCCAATAAAATGAAAATTAACTTATTATAATTTGAGATATGAACCTTTCTCTTTCCACTTCCACCTTGCTCTGCCCAATCAATGACTTTTTGAGCAGCTTCTTTGCTACACAGGCCATTAATGGCAAGCCCCGTTAACGTATCTGATGAGTTTACAATAATGCCTTCACCTGGAAAGGCCTTTCCAGATTCACTAATACTTTTATCATGTGGCATCACAACCCAGCGAACAGGAATATCATATTTCAAAGCAAATTCATAATCACGTGAATCATGTGCCGGCACAGCCATGATTGCTCCTGTTCCATAACTGCAACAGTAACCACAATTATATTATGGTGTCGTATAAATTTTTCAAATATTATTTACGCCACATTGACCATGTGTCCATGGAATACTTAGCAATCAATAAAATCAATTTGCATTCTAAATGATACTTGTGTACACGCACCTCCCCAGAACATAATCTGCCACCCATATTGGAATGGCTTCCCCATTTGCCGGATTTTTTGCATAACAACCAGTAAAGACTCCAGTCTTTTCCTTCTGAAGCTCTGTCCTCTCTAGGTCACTCTTTCTTGAGGCAAGGTCAATATAATCCTCCATCTGTGATTAAAAGCCCTAAGAATAAGTATCTCCTTATCACCCATGATTAAAACCCCTAAGAATAAGTATCTCCTTATCACCCATGATTAAAACCCTTCTAATAAACTAAGAAAGGAAAAGCATAACTTACATGATTGCTCTGGTCAGTGGAAACCAATGACGACAGCAAGGGATGCTCTGGTGCCACAACCAAGTAACTAGCACAAACGAAGCAAATTGGAAATCGATAAATAGTTAATTTCAAGAGTGCTTTATCTGATTCATAAACTTTATGAAGTATATTAGAAAATTGAATAGATAAATACGTTGTCCCAAAGATCGTATCAGGCCTTGTAGTATACACAATAATCTGCATGTCTCTCTCTTTTCCATCACCATCAAGAATGCAAAATTCTAACTCAGCACCTTCAGACCTTCCTATCCAATTTCTCTGCATTTCTTTTACACTTTCAGGCCAGTCAATGTCATCTAAATCCTCCAGAAGACGGTCAGCATATGCAGTAATCTTGAGCATCCATTGCCTCATTGGCTGCTTGGCAATAAACAACGACACTGTATGATTATGAAACCAGTAAAAAATATAAGAAAAAAACCACCCAAAAAAGTAAATTGAAAAAAAAAAAATAGATATACTTAAATCAGTATACCTTTCTTACTACTGGATGACCACCACGCTCACTCACACCATCAATAACCTCCTCATTGGCCAACACCGTGCCAAGTGCAGGACACCAATTAACAGGAACTTCAGCCTGATTTTTTAATAAGAAATTAAGAATGCCATAAGATCATCGATACTCAGGAATGAAGTTAAATAAGCACAATTTCAAAGAAATTGTAATGCATATGCTCAACCTGATATGCCAATCCTCTCTTTAAAAGTTGTAGAAAGATCCATTGAGTCCATTTGTAATATTCGGGTTCTATGGTTGATATTTCACGATCCCAGTCATATGAGAATCCTAATGATTTCAACTGTAACAAGACGTAAGAAGACTTAACATGAAAGGGAAAACAAGCTATTTTATGGTTAGATCCTAGAGGTGACGATATCTATGAGGATAAAAGGACAAAAAATTATTAGTAATGCATACAAACACAGTATCTTTCTTATCTGGTAAACATATAACAAAGGCATGGGAAGCAAACCAAGTGGAGGCCATTCAAATCACTTTCTGGTTCCCAGTTACTTCAGTTAATAATGAAATTCAAATAAGATGAGAATTAAGCAATAAAATTTATTTAGTTAAGTGGTTAAATTGTAATTTGTAATACATAAACTACTGATTGTTTTTGTGGTTTCAAACAAAGGCTTACTTCCAAGTATATCCAGGAAAACAATGCCACAATTCCAATATTCAGATCCTTTTCAATATAATTATTCAGATTAATTGCAATTTGATTTCACTAGTTTGGACTGAGAGAGATATTTGGCCCTGCTGTCAATATTCTTCTACCTGAAACTCTCATATTTTCCTAAATATCCAGGGATCAGTTAGGGATTTGGAACGCGAAACGATTTCAAAAGTTCAGAAACAAAAAATTCAATGAAAATTTGATAAAGTTGAAGGAAAGTGTAGGATGCAAGATTAAGATTTGGATAGGGGGGAATTTTAAAACTTTTCTATTTTGATTGAAATTTGAATTTTAGGTCGGTGAATTTTAAGCAAGTTTAAATGTTTTAACTTGCAAAGATTTTAAATAGAAAAGGAAATTTTCAGAAGTTTTCTAACAGCCAACCAACAAAAATTAAAATCCCTTCACTTCCCTACCCTACCCTACCCTTAGGGTCTGTTTGGTTGAACGGAGGGAATGGGAGAGTTTTTTTATAATGCATATTTGGGAGGGAAGGGGTTTTAATGGAGAGAAAATGTAAAATTACATTTTGTTCAATGATGATATGTAATATGACATTAAAATTAAGTGATAGGACATTTAAGTCCAACTGGGAAAGACATATGCCCTCCCTCCAAATCCCCCCATTTTGGAGGGAAGCTAAAATTGGCTTTTAGAGGGATTTTGCTCCCTCCTTTCCCGTCTCCTCCCCTCTTAATAATTGAACCAAACAACATAAATTTAAAATAATCTTTCCCCTCTTAATAATTGAACCAAACAACCTAAATTTAAAATAATCCCTCCCCTCTCCTCCATTTTCCTCCAACCAAAACACCCTAACTAGTTGATAGAGGGACAGTGAGACGTAACAAACTACTTTAACTATTGACAACTACAACTTAACACAGTTTTCAAAAGAGTAAAGATCTTCAAATGAATCAAAATTGGCCGCATAAGTTCATTACTGGCTCAACACCAGCATCAAATTTTAATAATTCTAGTATACCTCTAACCATTTAATTCAATAACTAAATAAAAGGCGTTCCTTAGAGTAAAAACTAACTTGTCATCAGTTTACCTGAGAGGTAAAGCGATTAATATTCGTCACAGTGGTAAGCTTTGGGTGAGTTCCTGTCTGAAACAAAGCCAATTAAATAGACGAAAATAACTCGAAAAGATTGTAGAGATTAGAACACAGACATAGCAGTAATATAATAATTAATAAGAAGCAAGAAAGACATAGACCTCAATTGCATATTGTTCAGCGGGTAATCCAAAAGCATCCCATCCCATCGGATGCAACACATTATATCCTTGCATTCGTTTAAACCTAGCTAGAATATCAGTGGCAGTGTATCCAAGTGGATGTCCAACATGTAAACCAGCTCCACTGCACACAAAAAAGTACAAATCATAATCTAAATTTCCTTGTAATTCTCAATATGAATCTAAAAATTGAAAAAATCAAAGTAACAAAAATTCGAAACCTAGGGTAAGGAAACATGTCAAGAATGTAATATTTAGGTTTTGACATATCGATATCATCGTCAGGGGTTCTGAAAGTGCGGTGTTGGTCCCAAAGCCGCTGCCACTTAGGTTCAATTTCATGGAAAGGATAAGCTCGATTGACGGATTGTTGCGGTGGTTTATTCTTGTTCTCTGTTTCGTTTACTTTATGGTTTGTGGCGGAGTTTGTGATTCTGCGGTTGCGATGGCGGAGTCTGAGAGTAGAAGACGAAGATGGCTTTCGGATTGGAGTGGGGAAGGGGAAGGGAATGGTGTAGGGTTTAGAGGAAGAGAGAGAGGTGTGTGGTGAGAGGAATTGGAGATTGGGATGAAGATGAGAGTGCAGCATTTGGATTGATAGAGAGAAAGAGCAGTTAAGTGGAGTGGAGAGAAAGGGGATAATGTTCTGAATGAATGAAGATGGCGCTTAAAACTCAACTACCCTCATCTTATTCTACTTTTCACCGTTGGGTCTAACAATTTACCGTAGTTACATATTTTATAATGGAGAAGTTTCGAATTTCGATACTAAATTTTGAGTGGAGTTCCTATTTTAAATTTTATAAAAAAAAACTTTTTAAAGAATATTTTTAGTGTTCGATTTCGAATTTCCAATTTAGTCATATGGAATTTTTATTAAATCATCACCTTGTCTAGTTGTTATTTACGTTTTATATTCGTTACATCCCCTGTAATGTTAGGATTTATGTGAGAAGTTTGTGCTGCGAAGAGTTTTAGTCGTTAGGGTTCATTTTTCTTTGAAGCAATTAGGGTTATGTCTGCTGTTGATAGCAATTCTTTTGAAGCTTCTGTCGCCTACAGTCGCCCAGCCGTCATGGGTGGAAGCAAGTGTTCATCAACAAGTAAGGGTTTGCCAAGATGTGGCTGCAACGAAACCATGAAGTTATGAGTGTCTAACACCCTCGAAAATCCAAGCAGAAAATTCTGGAAATGCAGAAATTCCATGGTGAGTTGTTTATAAGGTTGTAATTCCTCTTATATGAACATTCTCATTTGTTTATGTTTTAATATTGGGGAAAATGCATAATGGTTGCGGTTTGTTTCTCTGGGACGACATGGTTAGCGAGGCTGAAGTGAACTCATCTAGATGTTGTGAATGTGACATGAGCAGGGGTTATTTGCGAGAATTTGCGAAGGAGGTCGTTGAGAAAAGATCAAACAAGATGGAAAAACTGAAGAGAAAAGTTGCATTAGAAAAGACAAAGAATTCCTGGATGATGATTGTAATTGTTCTGTCATGGATGTTTTTTGCAGTTGTGTATGATTTTAAGTAATTGTTATGGTTTGTAATTGGATCTTGGTTGTCATGGTTTGTAATTGTAAGACAAACAAGTTTGTGTTGAATTAAACTCTAATTTTTGTTGTCCGTTTCAATGGTAATTGTAATAAAACTAAGTTTTGTTGAATGAAAGTTTAAGTTATGTGTAATTTAGTTCAAGTTACATTCATTGACAGTGAATATGTCTATGGCACCAAAGTTACATTCATTGAAAGTTTAAGTTTTGTTGAATAAAATTTTGACAACATAGTTGAAATAAGTTAGATTAACAAAAGCACACTGGTGCATATGTCTATTATAACATTACCAAAAGGACGCAAAAGGCACACTTGATGCATATATCTATTACAATAATAATATAAGCAAATAAAAGGCACATAAAGTAATTAAGTCTATTAAAGATAACATAAAACTTAGTCTCTAATTTTTTTGGTCCCCCATGTCTTCATAAATCTTATTTTCACTCCTAGTTTTGAGTCTTTTGAACCTGACTTCTCTCTAATTTCTGGTATGGTAATTGACTACTCACTAGATCATGGGCCTGTAATTGGTTTCTTAAACCAACTCAACTTAATCCTTTCACTTTGCCTTCTTTTGATAACTGGCTTCTTTCCTTTATGTTTCTTTGATTGCCCGGGAATTGAGTTAGTCACAACAGATACAGTTTGAGAATCATTAACCATTGTACTATGTCCATCAGTAGGATCTGCAATATGTACATCAGTTGGAACAGATTTCCCCCCAATATTATGATCTTCATTTTGTACATCAGTTGGAACAAATTTCTCCCCAATATTTTGATATGCACTTTGTACATCGATTGGAACAGATTTCTCCCCAATATTTTGATCTGCACTCTACATCAGTTGGAACTGTCCTCTCAGCTTCACCAAAAATTTTAACTTTCCTCTGCACAATTAATAACATGTTAGATTAGTCACAAAAAAGTTTGTACAACATAATGGATTTTGAGAAACAGTTATACCTTTCTTTTCAGAGCATTGGGATCTTGTGTCAATGACTTGCAAGACAATGCATTGTGACCAAACTTGTCACGTTTTGTGCACTTATATGAAACCCCATGTCTTCTTATTCTTGCACCTTTCTCTCTAAGTTCTCTTATCCTTACCTTCCTAGACCTTCCTGAACCTCTCTTGTACGATGGTGGTAAAACTTGTTCCATTTCTACTTCTGGCCACATATCCTGACCATTGATAGGGCTTATTGAAAATGCATAACAAAATGCAAAATTTTCTCTGGTGTAGCACTCATCAACAAAGTCATCGGGGTTTTGCTTCCTATAACTCAAAGCTGTCACAGCATGCCTACAAGGTATTCCTACTAACTCCCAGAAGTTGCAACTACATGACCTTTTAACTATGTCAATAATAAACTCTTGGTGGTTGTAAGTATGGGTGACTTGGAATTGCTCAACTATGGACAATGTTGGCAGCCAATGTCCATGGTTGTATACTTCATTATCTAACCTTCTCCTAGGTATATGCATCACTTTATGTTGCCCTTTTCTAGTTTGGTGGAAGATGTAGACAACTTATTCATAAGATATTTCCTTATCCACTCACACATAGTCAGTATGGGTTTATCCCTAGCAACCATTGATAAATCCTTTCTTGCAACCATCAAAACAAAAATAAAAGGATCCAAACCTAGGTTGTATGGAAGGAGTAGGTCTTTCAATATTGATCTTCACATTATTAACAAGATTCAGTCTTGTTAATTCAGTTGTATACCTCCATATGGATGCATATTGATTATCTGTATTACCTTCAATTATCTTCTTAGCTATTAACTTGGCCTTCCATGCTTTTGCAACAGTAATCCTTACAGAAAATTTTTACCTTATATCTTGCATTATGTCTCTTATTCTAACATTATCAGAAGTTTGTAGCCTCTTTACCACATGCTTAGCCACCCACCTAGAGTTTGTAGATTTGTTTTCCAAAACCCTAGCACATGCATGGGCATCCACAAGTGTTTTTATTGCAAAAGTGTGTTTGTGGGCCACTTTGAAGCATAAGACCAAAAAGCCACATTTAGCCTTACATTGTACTCTAACTCTATAGCTTTCATTTTTAACAAAGGTAATTTCCCTCCCATTGAGGACTGGTCACTCACAAATAACCTCCCTAAATTCCACAAGTGAATTAAATTCCATACCCATCTTAAACTTATAGTCCTTATTGAGGTGATCTTTTATAAATCTTTCATGCTTGGGCCTTTCATCATCACAAGAATCATCTGGATCATCACTATTCAACTCATCACTATGGTATTCATCCTCATTTGTGGTCTTCTTGGGTCTACCAAAAATACCACTAAGGCTTACATCTTCATTCAATGGCAATGTAACATCGATTCCTTCAAATCCATCAAGAAGAGCAGTAGCTCTCTCATCTTCACTGACATCTAAACCTTCAACCATCTCTTCTTCCAACTCATCCATTTCATTCACCTCATTGGCACAATTAGGTTTGTATCATCAGTATCCAATCCTCCCAGAGAATGTTCCACAAATAAATATCCAACAGTATTCATTGCAGAATGATGCAGAATCGTATGCATCATCATCCTTTTTATCAAAATATATCCTTCTTGAATCTCTAAAACTTTAGTCCATAAATGAAGAGTCCCTTTCTTATACCCCCACCCACTCACCAACTTCATAATATGATCCATCATCCACTTAGTAACTTCAAGCCCATTTACAGTTGAATCAACCCTCCCTCTGTAAACAATTTCAGTCGGATTAACTCTAATAAATTTACTCCCATGGTGAAAAGTAGCAGTAAAAGGTTGGAAATTATGTGAATACATCAAACTCATTTATCATAAAGTTCTCATCGTATTACACTTTAACTGTATTGAAGTTTCAAAATTAACATACCTTAGACATTGCAAGCTTCGTCTTCGTCTTCATCGTCAATTGATGTCTTGTATTGCTTCATCTTGCTTCATCGCCTATGGAGTCGTCCTCTTCACAGCCCAGTCTTCTTCACATAAACCCTAATTTTGCAAGGGGGTATAACGAATAGAAAAAAATACAAACTGGTTTGCCTGATGATTTAATAAAAATGTCATGTGGCTAAATTAGAAATAGGACGTGGCAAATACTCCAACAAGTCACTAAAGATTTCATGACATCTGGCTAGTGGGGGTGATATGAGGGAATCTACATAACACAAGGGGAAATTTAAAAAAAAAATTTACGAGGGGCTAAAACCTGAACTCGCTAATATTGCATGGGGTGTTTTTATATTTAACCCTTAAATCAAATCAAATTCAACAATTTAAAATATTGTATTTAATAAATAATATGTGACAAATCCTAATAATTAAAGATTGTTAGAGGGTTTAACCTATTTTGTGCGATTGAGAGCTAATTTGCGTAGGAGGTGAAAAACTTTGTGTATTTAATTTTCAAAGAGATAACATTTCATCTCACACTTATATATAGCACCCCCATCATGTATGTAAAAACATGAGTTTTGTTGGAAATTTGAAGAGGAATTAATATGTCACCTCTAAAATTATACATGTCACCCCTCATTTTTCTAAATACCAAAAATGTCTATGAATAAATTAGGGGTAGCAAAGAACAAAATTTTTGATAAAAATTCAAATTTCCGATAAAAATTTTCAAAAAAAAAATGCAATATCGGAAATTTCAAATACACTTAAATTTCTGGTATTGCAAAAAATTGATTTTTTTTTTAAATGAACTACCGGATTTTTTGAAAATTCTGGTAGTTTTTCGAAATTTCCGGTACTTTTTTCAAGAAAAATCCAATATTTTTTAGAAGTTTCCGGTAAAAATTCATAGTTTTGAAAATTAAAGGTGTTAGACAACGGTATAATGGTAAAAATATATCAAATATGGGAGTGCATTGTATAACTGTAGGGATGGCATGTTAAATTCCTCAAATTTGAGGAGGTGTCAGAAATTTCGAGAAAATTCCAATTTTTTTGAAATTTTCGGCAAAATTTTTTGAAATTTCCAACACAATAGCGGAAATTTCCAATACAGTACC